ATGGAATAGAAAGGAATGTTGGGAAACATGATTAGAGAAAACTTGTAAGCCTGCCTTCAGCCTACAACTTGCCCAGTGAAACAGGCCTCGTGCAAAGCCTTTACAGAGTATAGGACCTTAGGTGGAATCCTGAGTCCCATCTAGAACCTAATGAGGTAGGACATTCCCACTAGAAAGGACAAGCAGACTGGAACAGCTACAGTGACAGAAGATACATCTTCAAAGAAAGATCATCAGGAAAAACCCAAAACAAAAATGTCAGCATGACTGTCTACTACAAGAATAAGCAAGCTGTTCGCCAGGAAGACATCAAGGCTAGCAATCAAATGCCTTCAGGACAAACTCCCCTCTAAGACTGAAACTCAAAGGGAATACACAAATAAGCATGTAAACTTACTGGTGACCACATTGGTCTACTGATGAGTGGAAGAGGCCGAAAGGTATCAATGAAGAAATGGGCTGAGTTCAACCCCAATCCATTGAATCCCATTGACCTGGAGATGAGAGACAGAAGAGGAAGGGCTGGTTGGTTCAAAGTGTGGTGAGACCTTGAGCCCACGGACAAGGACTTAGCCACAAAGGTCTATAGGTGAGAGTGAAGCATTCAGCTAATATGAAGTGAGGGGAGATGCACAAGAACACCTAAACTTGCATACAGTACCCTTTTGACCTAGCCTCAATGGCTCGATAATCAGAACTCGACTAGACGAAGATGGGGAAAAAATAATTTTTTTTTTTTATAAAGAAAACAAGGGTAAATTGCTTCGATTTGATGAACCTGACCTATACTCAAAGCGGTAGTTACCCTAAATATCAACAGAGAGGGAAAGAGTCTTCACATCAAGTATCAATGCTATCCCTTCTGTACACAGGGTAGATAGGGACAGGCAACTTAGACAATGGCTACCTAAAATGAGGGGTGATAAAGGCACCAAGTGACTGGCTTACAAGGTTTCAAGAGGGAGTTTAGTTTAAGAGTATGGAGGGAAAGAAAGAGTCCCCACTGAATAGCTGTCATCTTGTCTAGATGGGTCTGGTGAAAAGAGATGGGGATAAGATTCCTAAGATTCAATAGTAAATAACTGTTATCATGACTAATTGGAACTGTCACAATTGTAAAGGTAGAAGTTTTGTAACAAAAA